ATAGACATTGAAAGTCTGTACGAGTTTTGTGAAGAAATCTCCAGCAATATCGGTGATGACATCTAAAGCACTCGGTTGAAGCTCTTCAAAACCAGCGTGATAGCAAAGTTTTGCAACAGAGCGTTGCAAAGCAGCCTTGCAGACCCAAGTTGCCATTATCGGACCATCATCTGAAACGACGTAGGGCTCGATGTCGGCTTCAATGAATGGCTCGGGTTCGTACTTTGGAAATTGATTGTTGTACATCTGTCTATTGTCAATTCACAATACTGCGGTAATCGATTCACTTAAAAACGTACCTGCGCCTGCAATTGCATTTGCTTGATGACGCCGATCTTCGAACACAATTTCCTAGTTTCTTGCATCTGCCTCATATTCGCATCAACCTTTGAAGCCAAAGAGCTTTTGGGGGTAGTAAATTGGCCAGGTGGAACCATGCGGATACACTCGTCGTGCTGATCAATGAGCTGGCCATCAGCGTCTTCAACCCACTGAAGCTTGCGAGGAATTTCGGGTATGGCTGAAAGGGAGTCGTAATAATCAGGTATGACCCGTTCTTCTTCGCCTTCCATTCCTTCAGCAAGAGTTTCTACACCCTGCAAAGCATCTTTCGATTTTGCATCTGAGCGCGAAGCATCGATCTGTGCTTCTTTTTGCTGCCGAAGCCATCTCCTCATACCGGCTTTCGTACGAAGGAGAGCAGGCTCATCACCATTGAGTTTATCACCTCTGAAAAGACGATTTCTCTCCTTGGCTATCAGCGCACGGTCTTTCTTTGTCACTTGCTTCCAGATCTTGTACTCTTCATCTTCTCGAAGATCATCCGCAGCAGCGCCGAGTGCCTGGCCCAACGAGAGTCCATTGATTGAAGGTCCATCAATGTCCATAGCGTCAGCTTGGCTTCCATGACCTGGTACCCCATTCATTGATGGCGTGATGGATCCGATTGGTGGTGTGGCAAAGCCATTCTGGCTCCCATCAAAACCAGCGTCCGACCCTTCTCCTAAGTTGCCCAGAAGACCATTGAGTTGAAGAGTAGGCTTTTGCTCAACGCCGGGAGTGCCTTCTTCATGACCATTTCCTGATTTCCGGGCCTTCGAGCTTTTGGCTCCTGCCTTTCTTCCTCTGGAAGACATGATGGGCTCATCATCGCTATCGTCATCTTCGCCGCCGTTTTGCTTTCTCCGCTCTTCGGCTTCGACTTCTGCTCTTGGCCGGATGACGAGATCTGGAATCAGTGGTACAAGTTTCTCTGCCTCTTTCCTCATGGAATTGGCATTCCGCCGTAATGGGTGTGCAACATCAGCATTGTACTTCAGACAGTTACTCCATATTAAGTCAAGATCATCGACAAATTCCTTCTTCGACTTGTATGTCAATGTCTTCAACTTCTTGGTCATTGTCCCGAGATCCATAGGGTGCTTGATGACTAATACGCGTTAGACGACTCCTTCCCCATCAGATGAAGATACTTACTGAGATAGTAGTCAGGCGCATCCCGCTTATTCACCCTGGTGAGGAAAGGTGCGGAGTACTCGGTCATTGCTTTTAGTTCACTTAGAACTTTTTCCGCAGCTTCATAGAGTTCTTCTTGATGGACATTCTCCTCGCTTGCCCACTTACTCCTGTTCTTGCGGACTTCGTTCATTAGGGACCGTAACTCGGCATCCGAAGCTCGGACTTGGTCGCGCTTGAGGTCTATCCGTGCAATCAGATGCTTGAGAGTCAAACTCGAAGCACCAAGATTTGCACTACTCAACGACCCGTGGTGTTCTCCATTCGCGCCGTTCGCATTACTGGTTGTGCCATTGTTGTCCATCTCAGCATCTATCTGTTTCTCGGACTCCTCTAACCTCTGCTGCTCCAGCATAGCTATTCTGTCGTTCTCTAATGTATAGAACAGGGTATGAAAACTGCGCTTCGCTGCTTCCTCGGTGGCCTTCTTAGCCTCCTCCAACTGTTTGCGCGCATCTTCCGAAGACTTGGGCTCTTCTTGCGCGGCAACGTCTTTACTTTGCTCGGGCTGCTTGGTTGGTGATACGTCTGAAGAGACAGGAGAACTGCCGGATTTGGAGGGCGACAACAGAGCATTTCCGCTTTTGTTTTTGCTCGGGGACTTCTGCACATCGTCTTCATCCTCATCCTCATCATCATCGTAGTTATCCTCATCAATGGTCCGCGTAACCTTCTTGGGGGCTGGTTCCCTGGCGGGCTCCTCGATATTGGGCTCGTCCGCGACGAATTGATCATTTTGCGCGCTATCATCGTCGGCAGAGTCTTGTTCGAATGTCCTCCTTCCCCCGAACAATGCAGCTATCTTGGATTCACTGCGCTGGTATAGTTCCTTGAATAACTGCCTCTGATGGTCCTCCTCCACATTGTCACCATCATATTGTACGGTGGCCGGTTCGCCCATTGTCGCATCTTCGAAAGGGAGACTTGGGGTATTCGAGCCCGCAGGCGTATCGTCTCGTCGATGGAAGGGTCTGCTACTGAGATGCGATGATGAAGGAAGCCATGATTGATGCCCGGAGTTGAATATAGACATCTCAAGCGGGTGGGTGAAGCGCGCAAGGATGCGCCAGAATTATCGCCTCCTCGTCGTGAGAAAACGGTTTGCAGCTCCCTCAACTGGGCTTTGGGTTCGTGGCCGTCATCTGTGATGCAGCAAGAAATTTGTGTCTCGATAAATGATGTCGTTGTCGCGTTATTGATGGAATTCTCCCAAATTCGATGGAGTCGGGTTGTCTTTGGGGAGAGTGTCGTTGCAGTCAGAAGGCCGGTTCTAGCTCATTGCGAACATTAAGACCTGGTAGAAACCCATATGAAAATCACCACAACTCGGCGCATTATTGATATTTACGATGATCGTACTCATGGGCATTTGGCGCATCTACATTCTCGAGCACTCTATCTAATTTTCTGTCAATTTAAAGCTTGGGTTAAGGTTGTAGGAAATAATGAATCTCCCAATGTAGTCCCCCGCGGTCTGCTCCACTTTCATGGACCGCTCCCTCATCACGTGCAGCTCTTTGTCGTGCCTCACTGAACACGAAGCTCTGACGCTGGAACCTAGAGCTCCTGCAAAGCAAAAACTTGGGGGATGTTTAGAGCTGAAATGACTTTTCCCTCTACGCATACATAACAGCACATCAAAATGCGAATAAGGCTACCCTTCGCAGGTCAGTGGATCCTATCAACAGCAGCTCCCAGCCTCGCGCTGGAACTGACATCATGCTATAGGAGCTTTCATCTTCCTGGCCGCGACAGCGGGTTATGCTGGCCTCTCCTCCCTCCAACTCGGTGCCATAATCAACGACAAGATCCTCCACTGTCTCACATTCTTCATCCTCACAACCTGCTTCTACTGGATCCTCGACACTTCTCGCAGGCGCAACTTGCACCTCACTCTCCTCGTCTGCACCGGCATCCTCGGTGTCGGATCGGAATTCCTTCAAGGATTTCTGCCAAATGGAAGGCAGTTCGATTTCTATGATATCGTTGCGAATGTGGTGGGGAGTTTGGCAGCTATAGGATTGAGCTCTTGGTATCACCTGAGGATGTTGGAGAGGAAGAGACTGGCCAAGAACTATCAAGTTGTGCCTGGAGATGAAGAGGCAGATCTAGAGCTTGGTGAGGGTATTGGGGCACAAGAGTCGGGGACGACGAGCGTAGGAGTGCCGGCACATACTCCGACTTTGGACCAGGAGGTGGATAACTGGGATGAGAACATCGAGGATGGCTGGGACGAGGATGAGCACTTGGATAGTGCTGAGGGTGAGGGACTGAAGACTCCTAGTGCGAGCTCCGCTGGTGAGGATCTCGGGGAGACTAAAAAAAGGGCAGATTGATGATACGTTACGATACGATGATTTGCAAGGCGTTTCTTGGAGCGTTTGAGTGCAGCGGACTTCGGATTCTGTGATTTGGCAACATGCGGTTTCCATGCTGTAGGATTGTGATAACAAATATCTCTCGGCTTAGAAGCTTCACATCGGAGAAATGAACAAAAGGCCTTTTCAGACATCTTGCTGCCGTGATGCTAATGTGACGGGTTGTTGACAACTTAGGCGCTGGATGCTCTGTGAGTAGGAATAGAAGTACATGCATGGATCTTCTCAATCGGCAGGCTTTAGGACACATGCACCGTAGGATCACTGTTGGGTAATTCAAACACAGTAGAGCCAACATTTAGAGAAGAAAGGCTGCTCATCTTCCTATAGTTCAAAGCAACTTTTCACACCAGACAAGGTTTTTACAATGGACTGGAGAGATTTTGACACGAAATCATAACAACAGACTCACAAGTACAATTATCAACTTATCCACCGAACTGGCACCTGGTATTTTTCTACGTTGATAATGTGTGAGACTTTGAGGGGGGTCCTCCGCTGTCATATTTCATAGGCACACCTCCCGCCAAAATACCCACCTCGGCAAAATCTCTCCTCATGACTTGACCCTCTATTTCCTAAAGTCGATATAGATTTGAATACCCATAATCCCTTCATCAACCAATCAAGACTCAAAGCGGCTTTAGCTCACTTGGGAGAGCGTATGTTTACCCACTTCCATCAACAACATCCGCAAACTAACAATCTCAAAGGCCAGACTGAAGATCACTTCAGACATGAAATCTGGAGGCACTGTGTTCGATCCACAGAAGCCGCATCTATCTGCGAATCAAGGCATACCTTGATTAGAACACATTTTTTTTGATCTTCTGATTTTGTTTTTGGAATTGGGGAGAATGAAGGAAGGACTTCGGATGAAGTTTTTGGTGGAGTGGGTCGAGGAGGAGCGAGAGTAGACAAGCGAGTATCAATTTTTGCTCGGCCTCGGCGTTGATATTTTGAGAGTAAAAAGTTATGATGGGCTGGCTAAATGAAGCTAACAAAGGGATGCTTCCAGGAAGGAAAAGTTTCTCTCTCACCTTTCAGTCAAAGAGCCAAAACTATAAGACCGAAAAGTAAAAGGAATTCCATCACCTGAAGAGGATTTGAACCACGCCCGATTTGAACGGACAACCTTTCGATCTGGAGTCGAACGCGCTACCGTTGCGCCAGCGGTCCTTGAGGTGAACATGACAACAGATCTGCGTATTTGAAGGTATAACGACCAGGCGAAATCCAGGTGTGAGCAATGAGTGCGGTCAGGCCGAGATTGTGCTTATACGACTCAGTATTCACGTCCATATCTGGGGATAAGACTTATGTCCTGTCTTCTGAATCACTTGAAGCATGTCAGCTCCTGTGTGATGTCAAAGGGACATCGTCATGCTAAATATTTTACACATTTCCCACATTCTTTCAACATTTTCTAGTTGTCAAGTATGCAAGACAAGCAACTTGTTGCTTGTTCAAAGGCATCATTCCTAGAACTTGCTTTTTTTGCTTTAATTTGCTTCTGTGTCTCTAGCTAGAACCAGCAAAACCCTCCTATCTACCACCCAAAACTCTCATCATGGAACCAAACCTCCCTCCCCTTTCCTACCCATCTTCCCACATCCCTCCTCAATTCTCTCGCCATCTCCTTCGGCCCACACACCAAAATAGCAACTCTCTCCTCTTCTCCCTTTCTGAAAACACCGTCCACAATCCTCCCCAAATCCGGCCTATCCCTCGCAGTAACCTTAACTCCAGCCTCATCTTCCTTCCTTGTCAACTCACTCATCTCCACACTTCCATCTTCCGGCTCCGGCTCATTATGACCATGATGACTATCATGACCCGTAACGAAAATCTCCACATTCTCATCATCTTGTATCGAGGTTCCTTCTTCGGATTCGGAGGTAGCTTGAGATGAGGAGTCAATTGCCCATAGAGCTTCGGAGGAGGAACGCATCGACCAGATCATGGTTACGCGATCGGGACTCCTTGCTTCGGCTACTAGTTGATCGCGGACATGTTGGTAGATAGGTAAGATGAAGGTTGAGCCTACGCCGCCTGCTACTAGCAGTATTCTGTCGTAGTCAGCAGCGAGGTTGGGGAAGTGCCGTGATGAGCCGATTGGACCTTCGATGTTGAGTGGTGGGTGCGCTTTCGAGAGATGTGAGAGATGCTCTAAGGCTTTGGTGGTGGGCCCGTGAAGAGCACGGAGGACGAGCGTCACCTCTGTGTTGGAGGCGGAGGCGATGGTAAATGGATTGTAGAGGAGTTCGTAGAGAGATGGAGAAGAGGAGTATGGTGGGGTGCTCTCAGGCGGGATCTGAAGGTAGACGTGTTGGCCAGGAGCATCACGGAAGCGTTGAATTTTGGATTGTGGTACGGGAACTCGTATCTTGACGAGCTTGGTGTGAGGAACTGGTGTGATGGTTGTGTAGCCAGTGATAGTGTCAAGCTTTCTGCAGATGATATCGAAGATGAACAAGGCGAGGGCTTCAGTGACATAGATCCGTAAATGGCTAGCATGAAAGAAAAGTAGTGGAGGTAGTGCCATGCCGATGACCAAGTGAACGACGAAGAATACCCGGTAACTCCAACGTCGAACTTTCTCCAGGCTAGTGCTAAAGAGTATGTTCATCAGGAAGAAGGCTACGTAGCCAATGATGACGACTCGTGCAGTAAGACGAGTTGCAAGAACACCGGCTTGAACGAAGTAGTTTAGATACCACGTAGCATGAAGAAACAAGAGTCCATAGATGACTCTTCCTTGAAGTCGATGCCAGGGGTTAAGTTCTTCGTGTGATGATCCAAAGGCGAGGTTTAGGGGCGAGTACAGCGACTTCATTGCCAACATGTAATGAAGAGGGAATTGAGCAGCGGCAATGGCCCCAAATCGCTTGGTGATATGAAGGTAGTCTACATCTCTGTTAGTGATGATGGTTTCTATGCTTAAAGGATCGAAAAGGAGGTAGAGTTATGTGGAGAGATTTCAAGCCAAACGATTGATAAGGAGGAGCTAACGGCGGTATAAGAGGAAACAGAAGCCGAGTGATAGAATGCAGAGAATACATGGAGATGATGTGGGGAGAACGAAGCAAACATCTAGCATGAAATGACGTTTGATACTGATGATACCTGGACAGTGCTTACACAACGCCCAAGAGAAAGCGAACATACCTTCACCAGTTTGATGAACACACAAAAACAAAAGCCATGTCATCCAAGTCGTTCCCGCAATCCAATGAACCCTCAATCCCCAAGTCGGTGCAACCTCTCCCTTAAGCCACCAAACAAAGGCTCGCCATCTCCTCACGACTGCACCAGTAGTTGAAGTTCTACTCTGCTTCAAGCCCGGCGAACTCGGAATGGCTGAGTATCTGACTTTGGCCCTTTGTCTTTCGGAATATACCCAACCACCTAGGCGGTATAGCTGATAAGCAAGAATAGGGATAAGAGCCGAGAGCTGAGAGTAGACAGCATATCGGTCCAGAGCGAGTCGTCGTAGGTGTTTCTCATCGTGTGTGAGATCTAGGAGGTGATATGGCCAACCCATCTCGAGATATCAGATGAACAATGAACACGAAGTTGAAAGTTGAGCGCTGAGCTTCAATGTCCTCTCCCAGAAACTTGCTGATCTCAGGACCGAGTTCCGAAACTTAGAAAACGGTATTCCTCCAATCCCCAAGATCTGATCCGAAATATGGTCCAAAGGAATGAGGATGAGGACAAGTTTACTTCATCCCAAGGCAACAAAGCAACAAGTGGAGTGCTATTTGGTCTCTTCCCCACGCCGCATAAGCAAATCCCATAGCTTTAGAAAGCTTACAAATGTCACTGGCCGCCTTCAAGTGGAGGGCGGACAAGTGTCTTGCCAAGAAACACTGCGGGAGCGCTAGCAAGGGTAGCCAACCCCTGAAGGATCAACGACGTCAACAGCTCGGAAAATACGACCGCAGAGGCATTTTTTGCTCTACAATTCTTTAACCACTCCCTGCTTTTCCATTTCCTGTACCTCTTTTGAAAATACCACTTCTAATGAAATGAACACCACCGCTCTGCGTGCTCTTCGCACCGCCACTCGTTTTCCGAACACTTCCACACAACACATCGAGCCTGTTTCCTTCAAGCCCTCCCTCGTCCTCCTGCAACTCCGCTACGCTTCCTCTGTTCCTTCCACCCAGCACAAATCGACCCCTCCTCCGCAGAAGCTGTCCGACATAAATGGCCCTCTTACAACACTTCCTCCCCCCCTCGACCTCCCAGTCCGGAAAGAAGACCAATCCCTCCCCTCCTACCTCATCGCAACCGGAAAGACATATGTAAGCCCAAGCTTCCTCAGATGCAGAAAAGACATACGCTAAACATATACTCTATCCAGTTAACATTCTACAAAACTGGCATAAAAAACATCTACACAAACTACAAACTCTCCTCCCCCATCCAATCCCGCGTCTCAAAATCCACACTCCAAGACCTAGTCCGCAACTCCTCAATTACACGCTCCGAATACCAACTCCTATTCCGCAACTGGCACGACATCAAACGCGTCCCTCTCTTCGGACTCGTCCTTCTAATATGTGGGGAATTCACACCTTTAGTTGTGATAGCATTCACAGCCGTCGTACCCTGGACATGTCGAATACCGAAACAAATCGATTCTGACAGGAGTAAATTGGAGGAGAGAAGGGGGGAGAGTTTCCGAGACTTGACTTCTTTGCCTCCCTCACCGAATCCAGGAGCCAAAGTGGAGGAAGCGGTGGGCAAATTAGATAAATGGCAATTAAGACATATAAACTCTTCTCTAGGTTTGTCGTCCAAGCTATGGGAATGGGTCTTTGGACCTCCAGAAATGTTGTTGAAAAGACGGGCTAGGCAGGCAATGGAATATTTGGATATGGATGATACGTTGATTGTGAGAGCTGGGGGAGTGAGTGGGATTAGTAGGGAAGAGGTGAAGATGGCATGTGTGGAGAGGGGGATCAATGTCGTGGGGATGAAGGAGGAGAAGTTGAGGGAATTTTTGGGGAATTGGTTGAGGAGTAGGGAGAAGGTGGGGATTGAGAGGTTGTTGTTGACTAGGTGAGTTCGGTACTTGAGTGGTGCATAGGCTAGAGTCAAGGGATTGGGACTAATTGTTGTAGACCAAATGTTTGGCCTGTGAGAACTAAAGCTCCTGAGTTTGTGAAGCTATAGACGAGCTTTCACCCGGACTCACGCGAACTAAAAGCAAAGAGATAGCGAAATCAAGCAAGGAAAGAGGGTGCGAGAGTAACCGACGGGAAACAAAAGGGGTGGCGAGATTTAACGGCACGGACGATATTGTTCACATATGTCGACGGACATCAGAGTTTTAAGCACTTCTGATTGACGACTTATTAGGGCCACGAGTCTATGACCCGAAATCATGCTATGTACAATTGTGTAGAATACCACGCATGCGACTTGTATTGGATTGGCGTTTCTGTGGTAGAGGGTATGGCTTGGAAAGGAAAACCATGTATCATAAAACTCATCTCCCTATATAACAACAGCTAGATACATGATACAGGTACTCAACTATAACTTTTGACAGTTTTCACCTTCCATATCTAGCCCAAACAACCATCCACTGATAAGCGCTTCGTATTGAAAGACTAATTCGCAATTTGAATATTCGCAGCTTGGTGATCATTGACGGAACCTAGCAAGTTGTGCCATGATGTTTTGGACCTGCTGAGCAGATTGCTGAGGTTGAGGCTGAACAGGTGGTTGAGGAGCGGCTGCAGCACCATTTGCAAGAATCGACGCCAACGCAGGGTTTGAAGCAAGGTGCGAATATGGATCTGCAGGTGGTTGCTGGTAGGTTTGCTGAGGTTGTTGTTGTTGTTGACGACCATTGAGACCACCAAGAATGCCGGCGAGGTCAATATTAGAGTTCGTGGCGACGGCTGGGGCGTTTTGTTGCTGGGTGAGGGAGCCAAGAAGCTTTTGCAAGGTTGCATTGTCTAATTGACCAACCATGTTTACCAAGTTGGGAGCTGAGGCAACGGCGGGTTGCTGGTATTGCTGACCATTGCCGTATTGAGGAGGTGGAACATATGGCGCGCTCTGGACCGGTGTTGGGGCCTGGGTTTGCTTTGAACGAAGAACAAGTTCGGCGGCAATCTTTGGGTCGAGATCTTGGTACTCATCAAATCTAACATTGTTGG